AACTCGTTTTTCGCTAACCTTAGCTTTTCGGGAGCTAGTCGTCGTGCTTTAGAAAATACAGGTGGTCCTGTAGTCGTGATGTGATTTGTAACATCGCTGGTTACACACGGTAGTTTCGGTTGAGTTTGCTGTATCCCAGGGTACTTATCGAGTAATGGTTGATAAAATGGGTCTATCGTATGCTTGATTGTGACTGGGGATAATCTGCAACCAGTAAAAAAGTTACGCAAACGGATAAATTAGTGTTACCGTCTACTAGCCTCCGTTTGCGAGTATCGATGATTAGATAATGTTGTACAAGGTCCATACCAATAATTGGCATAGAAACATCTGTAACAACGAAGATCCAGTGAATGGGTTTGCGTAAACCCACGTTAAGGTAAACGTACCTTTTGCCAAACGTAGCGATCGGTTTTCCGTTTGCCGCCTGTAAGTTCAAGGTCAATTCGTGAAGTCGGTCGTTAGGATTCGCTGGTAGAACGCTAACTTTTGCGCCAGTGTCGACGAGGTAGCGAACTTACGTTGTCACATCCGTGACGAATAACAGACGGCTTTGTTCGCCGGCCACAGTAGCTGTTAACGCGTGCCGGCTTGGAAGTTTCCCGAGTTGTTTTTCGAGTCACTCGGTTTCGTGTTGGGGAAATTGCAGGGTTTTCTGCAATTTCCGGAAAACTTTCCATACTGGTTATGATAGCAGCACCAGTCGGGGTTATCTGTCTCTCGTGGTCTAGAGACAGATCGCTTACGTGAAATGCTTCTACGTGGAGTGCACGATCTCTTACGGTCGGTACGAAGATTATGACAACGCGTGAAAGTATGACCTAACTCGGTTATGTCATTCTGAGTCGTTTGAGGTTTTTCTTTGACTGAAAATATCTCGGTAGTAGAAGGTTTCGTAATTTCTAAAGTGCGGTCGGCAGATGCAGCTAGCTCGTCAAAGGCGTTGTTCTGAAACGAGACCAGAACTGCTTGCACCTGTTGGGGAAGTTTTGACAAGAAGAGTTGTTTGAATAGACCTTCGTCGAAAGTTCTTGGGCCTATTACCTCTCTCATCCGTTGCAACATGTCCGTCGCAGAACCGTGTTGCAGGTCGATATTGTTGAAGAGTTGATCTAACCTTTGTCGATCGGTTAGGTCTCCTCGTTTAAGAATCGATCGTTTTAAGATTTCGTAGGGATCGGAAACATCACTGGTAAACATACTAGGTGTTACGTACCTGTTGAATTCGGGCGGTAGTGCCTTGACTACTGCGAGGAATTGTGCACGTGTGTCGATCATGCCGTGCTCGTGGAAGTCGGCTTCTGCGTAGCAGAACCAGGCTTCGATGTTGTCGGGCCAGAAAGGCATCAGTTGAAACGAAGATGGGGACAAAGTCTTAAGCTTGAGTACTTTAGTTGTCTGTTCAGTCATGATGAAGTATGAAGTACGATAATGAACGAGGGGTAAAATATACATATCCAAGAAAAAACAGGAAAAAAATCACAATGTTTAAAAAAAATAAAAAATAAGGCATTGATATATAAAAATCCCAAAAAGGAACAGACTCACAGTTGCAATTAGGTGTACCAGATCACGTCGGGCTCACCAATGATGATGTCACAGGTATTCAGTGTTTGACAACGCTTCTACCAGTAACACCTAATATATTTCGTTCCCACCCAGAGAAATCAAAAGACAGAGTCGAGGAGATCGGAAGAGTATATTTGGCGATGACCAATATATCGGAATTCTCTGATCTAATCTAGCTAGCGATTGCGGTTGATGTTGAGCACAGCGTTACCACACGTGATCTGGTGCGGATGCATGACTGAGCGCCTTCATCTAGATGAGTCTACTAAAACATATGGTCAGCATCCAATGTCGAAAACTTACAGAGCTATTTATTTTGGGGATTTATTTACCGTTACACCGTACCTAAAATTGCACACTAGTTCAACGGCACATCAATGTCTATAAAGTTCCCCTATATATCCATGGAAACATAAGACCTTGGCGAAACTAATATTATCATTATCAGAGACGAGTGTTTACAGAACTATTAATTTCAAGATTTCTCACCACCTAAGCACTAAGCCCGTTGTCTTATCATTACATCAACACCATCAACGACTTAATGTTAAGCGTACCTATTCCTATGAACAGCAAATTGATCGTCCCTTGCATGTCTATCTCCGGATATGATCAAATAGATTGTCCTTTCCTACTATCATCTCGTTCCTAATTAGTTTGAGACTATCTGCAGCTTGTACTCTTCAGTTTTGTTTTCTATTTGCATGACTTTCCCTGTTTTTTATATCTTGTTCTACCTAACGCTAAGATCGTGATTAACATTTGATTGCATCATTTATCTGAAACAGTAGGTTTGTTGCGCGATCCAAAATCAATACTTTTAAAGCATCCAATCCATGTTTCACTTGAATATATATTTGAGCACTTAGCTACTTACACCAAAATTTTTTGTTTTGTTGTCTTTTTGGGTAATCACGTGTCGTTACCATAGCAAATGACGTCCTGGAGAAAGCATGGGGACATTTATTTCGTATTCAGACCGATAGTCTATCCTTATTACATTTATACAGGAGTTCTAAGAGGTTTTACAAGTCAAACAAAAGTAGTAAAGTGGTGTTTTGCCTGAGCTGAAAATGTCTTTTAAGTTCATTAATTTCCCATTTTAAAGAAAGTTTTGTGGCCAGTTGACTTAAGATTTCCATCTCAAATATCATTTGAACAGATTTCGTTAGTCTATATTATAATGAGCTTGAACATGTTTGACTGGCAAACATCTTGGTATGAAAGTTAACTGATTAATTCCGATTTTAAAACTATTAGTTACTAAATCAACTAGGAAGTCTTTGTAAATAGTCGGCTGTCACCGAATTTTTTTGGAAACCCTTAACTAATTTTGTGATAGTGTTAAAGGTCAGAGGTGCACTTGAAACGCAAACTACTCACCTGAACTGCAGAAGCGACAGTTAATTTGGTTATCATGGTTGCAAAACAATTGGAAGCCTACTCGATTAAGTCGGGGACATTGTGAACAACCAGCCAACGTCAAAGTCACCCTTTCGTCGTAGTCAGTTACTGTGGCTACTTTGATGACCGTGCAACGCAAACGACGTTATTACCTAGATATATTAGTAAGAGTAAGTACAAGGAACTGAGTTCATCCACCACTTCATAAACCAGCACATGACGTGTGACTAACTGATGCCCGTTGGTTGCCCTTGATCTTGATGAGGATCAATGAAGTGTTCGACGGTCAGTGACTCGACTGCCGGATGATTTGTTCAGAGCTCAATGACATTTAACTACAACAATCCGTCACCAGATTCAACGGCCGTTTGAATCGGTAATCACGCGCTGGAGGTTGCCAAACGATGAAAAAGAATCCTCCGTGAATTGCTGAGTTGTGAGACAAATGTCAAATAAGATGCTTCAACTGATCTAGAAATAGCGAGTAATAATAAATCTGGGAATGTTGAATTCTTTGATGCTTAAATGTATGGCATACGAGTTGGCTTAATGTAAAGCAATTAAGCATGAGGAAGATAAAAGAATTATACAACGCTAAAGTTTTACCAAGCAGTATTAAAATACATTGTGCTGACAAGTGATTGAGTTACTCAGATAAGCCATTTTCAGTTTACCTCAAGAGTAACGACTCTAAGGTGGCACGACAAGTGCGTTATAAATTGACGTCGATGTCAGCTCTGTCACTGACTTAAGGTAGAAAGTCAGTGAACGTCGTTGACAGTTTGCTGTTCATAAGTGTCAAATTCTGGTTATATATATTTAGCGGATTAACTGAAGGTACTGAAACATAACCGAAAAAAGTGATACTTTCGTCACACGAAGTTATTGATCACTTACTAGTCAAATTTCTAAAACCTGATGATTGCTTTTACAATTAGTTAGAGTCGTAGACTAAAGATTGAAAGTGAAAGAGGCAAAATAAGGTTGCCTCTATGGGATGGCAAACGTCGAATCCCGTATATTGCTTCAATAACTGAACCGATAAATATCGAAGGTAACATAAGAAACGAAGTGTCATTCTGAACACATCTCAATGGTATTGGTGCGAAACTCTGTCAGTGCTGGGATAGAAGCCACAATGTCGATTCCAGTTTGCGAGTTTCGATTATCTACGTAAACCTATGGTTCGCGTGAATGATTTTGTCGCCATATCACAAATTGAACCAGACAAGTTGTAAGTTCGGTGTGTAAATGTCAGACTGATATCACTTGCCGAATTCTCATGTGATACCAGACCACTGTTGTTCATGCCAGTAGTTTCATTGACGATTAGATAAAAGGTAGAAATACTAATAGAAACAAAGGTTGAAAACTACTGCATATCAAAGTGATAATCAGACAGGAGGGCTGTGCTTCACTGACGATCATAAAATGGGTATAAACTAAGTATTTCGCAGTCAGTGATAATATATATAGAGGAGAAATATAAGAGAGGAATCTTTAATAAGAATAATCTTATAATTAAGTTTAACTCTTCACACCATCAAAACTAGTCTAAACTTACTAGGGTTTTGACCTTCAAATTTGTCTAGAATAACCCCAATATCTTAGACTGAAGATTTGAGTTTATTTTCCATTGTTATTGTATACTATCTGCCTGACCTTGAGGGTAGTTCACGGCCTCGAGTCTATGTGGTTTTTTAGTTCGTCCCAGTTTTCATTCTAGTTTACGTTCATCTCGGTGCATTGCTGATAATTCTCGCTTGTTTTTGTCCCAGCAACTGTCCTGTTTTATGATCCTTATTCATAGCTGATCCCTATTTCGTGCCGTTTCATGCAGACATTTTTTCAGCCATACTCAAGCAACAAATAACGAGGAATAAAGAGGAGATAAAGCGGACGAAAGTGTACACATAGTGCACAATTGTGCATTACAGACACCGAAGTAACTTAATATTTGCCCTATGTAACAATACAGATAACGAGTTCATAGTTCATTCTAAAATCTGAATACTGGACGTAATACTATGCCTCGAAATTACGAGTTTTCTGATTGTCTATACAACCCTACTTTACCTTGCATCTATTACCCGACATTCTTTAAGGTTTGATATCTTCATCTTACTTACTTTTAAAGTTATCTAAGTGCAATTCAACTCTGACTAATGCTTTAAGAGCAGCATTTGTACAGGTAGTAGAATTAGCATAAAAATCATTTTTTTTACTGGTTCACAAAACTACGAACCAGTGACCTTGTAGGTGGAGAATCAATATCCAGGGTTTAGCGAACAGTTTATCATTCGCTTGTTACAGCGTCTTGGAGTTAATGATGATATAAATCTGTCAGAGACATACCCGGAAATCGCTGGTGTACACACCCAACGTCAGTTCTTATTTTTCAAGTTTTTTAAATGTATTTAGTATGTGGAGGCATGGAGAATCAAATGATTAATCGGATCGAGATTTCTGCTAACAATCTGAAGTTGTGTTTAAGTAAAATACCTGACGAGATATCTAGTAGTAACGGCTTTACCAACCTTATAAGGTACTTCATTTCCCTTAATAATTTTCAGAGAGATTACAGAGATAACAGATAAATTTTTGGAATCGTTGTACAGTCACGATAAACAGATTTTGCAACAAAGAGCGCTGTACAACCTTAGGTTTGAGTTTATTCAATCATGCAAACAATTCAGCGAAACCTTGAAAGCATATAACCGTGATAAAAAGTAAGTGATCGGGTCATGTTTTTGTCATGCTTTATTTTGGACGGGTGAGGTTTACGAAACCATTATATAACAGGGATACTCGTGCACTACTATTTGATTTATTTTTTAACCAGATTGTGAATGGAAGCTCTCCATGATTCAACTCTATCAGTCGTACAATTGGATAATTTCGCGTGCAAAATCTAAAGTAATGCAAATATTTGACTTCATAGCAAAGTAGAAGGAGTTTACGTAAGCTTATAGTCATGTTATTCCAACGCTCCAGCTACCAATTCTGTCACAAAAAATTCGACTACAAAACCTACAGTGGTTTACGTAGTCATACTTCTATTTTAATAATTTAATCCATATAAAATTAAGTACCTCTAACTAGTAAATCTAAAATTCATCACTCAAAACTTTGTTGGTGTGATGATCCCAGCAGTAAACTCCCTTACCTCGTAATTCATGTTTCAGATCGCTAGTTAGAAAAGAGTTTTACTTAATATCGATATTAGTCTGGTAGCTGTATATCACATGAAGCGAAATATTGTATTAAATTATTTGTACTTATGATAACTTGGGCACTTATTTCCCTACCTATAAGCACTAGGTAAAGTAAAATGATTTATTATACTTATTTTCTAAATATTAAAAAAAAATAAGACCTGGATGTGCCTGTAATTTGAAAACTATTAGCTAATCCCATAATGTAATCAAGCAGATACATTTTGCTGCACCAATTTTACGGTTCGAAACACAGCCTTGAAAGGTTAGCTCTCTTGGTAACCCTTACGCCTACAAATCGTTTTGAAACTGTTTCATCTCTTTTGTTTTGTCAAGTTGTGACAAATATCGTTTATGTACAGTGAGTAGCTCCATAGATCAAAGTCAATCAACTGTGATTTGTATTCTGCATTTTCCAGGTCCACAGAAACTGCTACCATAACTGCACGACTAGCTAGTAAAACTGGTTGACTAAAATTGGTGGCTTATTTGATAATCTGCTCATGTAATTGACCTCTGAGTCCCTATCAGATACGTATCAAAGAACAGAGTCAGTCAGTCAGTCAGTCAGCTACAACGTAGGACCAGGCACATATGTGCATCGGCCCAGGTCGCCATACCTCACTAGCACAGCAAGATGGACAGCGGATTCATAGGAGTGGTTAGGTCAAAGGTGGTAATATATAGGAGAAAGATTGCATATAAGGATACAGTACCGGAAGAAAGAATTAGTTAGTAGAAAGAAAGATGTGGAGTGATTTTAATCTCTTAGTTTAAGGGAAGACAGAGAGTGTATACACCGACGCCATTGTGATCGATTCTGAGCCATGTCACCAAGAGTCTCCAACCATTGGTTACGATTGTCACGCGGACCCCAACCAAGTAGTCTGTATCTACCAACATGGCTCAGACTACAAGTTAGTGGCTTCAAGCACTGATGCCACGTTTTGGTTTGGCCGCCCCTAACTTTCTTCCAACCATCTCCAACACCGGTTAGCAGAGCACGTCGTGGTAGTCGGTGTTCGAGCATACGTAATACGTGGCCCAACCATCTCAGTCGATGAAGATTCATAACCTCATCAACTGATTTACCATCATTCCCTAATATCCTGCGTCTAACCTCACTATTACTTACCCGGTGATCCCAGCAGATGCCAGCAATATTTCTAAGGCATCTGTGGTCAAATACTAGTAGCTTACGGGTGTCTTCTACTCTTAGTGGCCATGTTTCGCTGCCGTAAAGTAAAACAGAACGAACTGCCGCGCAGTATACTCGCCCTTTTATTGATAGACGGATATCTCGCCTTCGCCAAAGGTGACGTAAGTTGGCAAAAGCCAAACGAGCTTTTCGAATCCGTGCTGAGATTTCGTCAGACACCAACCCATTAGGGCTGATCAGACTTCCAAGATAAGTGAAGTTGTCAACGCGTTCGACTACTTCACTCCCTATGCTTAGTTCAGGTGTTGACGCAGACCAGTGCTGAAGCAACAACTTGCATTTCGAGGGAGAGAAGCGCATCCCAAACATTCTGACATTGTTGCTTAGTGCTAACAAAAGACTCTGCATTTTGTCAGCGTCTTCACCAAACAGGACTATGTCATCTGCGTATTCTAAGTCGATAAGTGGACCTCCTGGAAGGAGATCAATACCCGAGAATTCAGTCGACGAGAGTGTTATTTCCATCAATAGGTCTATGATGAAGTTAAACAAGAATGGAGAAAGTGGGCAGCCTTGACGGACACCACTTGAGGTTGCAAAAGTAGATGACAGTTCGCCATAAGCTCTGACTCGATTGGTAGTGTTCGAGTAAAGAGCCTTCACAAGGTTTATGTACTTCTGAGGTACGCCTTTCAATGACAGACACTGCCACAGAATCTCGCGGTCTACCGAGTCAAATGCTGCTTTTAAGTCAAGAAAGACCACCATCGTCGGACGCCGATAAGTATGCCTGTGTTCTAGAACCTGACGAATGGTGAATATGTGGTCGATGCAGCCACGACCAGGTCTAAAGCCAGCTTGGTTCTCTCGAGTTTGTAGTTCACGAGTCTTAGTTAGGCGTTTGATAATTATCGAGGCCAGTATTTTAGATACTATGTTTGTTAAACTAATCCCTCTATGGTTGTCACAGGATGATTTTGACCCTCTCTTATATATTGGGACGATAAGTGATTGCGACCAGTCAGATGGGATAAAGTCTAATTCCCAGATCTTAGCTAAAATATTAGTCAACTTAATCGCTAAAATTGGACCACCATCCTTAAAGACCTCTGGAGCCAATCCATCTGGACATCAAAGAACAGAGCCCCTGGATGATATCGAATTCTTGCAAAATAAATAATACCACTATTCATACTCAGTCAAATAACATCACTGAACTATTTATTAGATAAATGATGAGAAATGTAGGTTATAAAACACATCTGACTGTTTTCAAAAGTTCCCGTAATTTCGAATATGGTTTTACTTTTAAGAACTACTATCCCATCAAGCTGCTAGACAAGTAGAGACATTTGTCTTTACCGAATTTCTATTTTCTTAGAAAGTTAATTACTTTACAAAATCTTCCTTTACAAATCTGACCAACACTTATCTCTCTGGAAATAATATCAGCCACACTTCAAAAGAAAGAGATGAGACGACTTAACTTTGATAATAAAAACCCTAAACTTACCGAGATGGAATCACTGGTTTTATCAGTCTAGAAATAGGCTTTTCATTGGAAGTGTGAAACTACGTATTTGAATGAAGAGAAGAATGCATGGTGAATAATAAGGAATGGAAAGTACATTTTTATCCCTTAAAATCTACTAAATGCGTAATAGTATTCTGTTGTCTGTGATCAGAAGTACTAGGAAACAGTACTGAGTGTACAGTAAAACGAAAAGCCATTGAGATTCACGTAGGGAAGCGAATTTAGTCATTAGTTATATCAACAGATATTGAAGTATTGACAAAAAAGTTTTCGCATAAATTACTCAACTGATTGGTACACTAGTAAGAATGTAAAGGGTCGAAACGTTTGTGGGTATGAATAATTACAACAAATTTATCTAATTTACTTGGGCATAACAATACGCTAAGCTTTTATAGCGGCATTGCATATTTCGTTAGTTTTGACCCTTATTACAATCAGAAATATACGATCATTTTGTTGGCAACTTATTTGTTAGATTTTGTTTTGCTATAAGTAATGAGTAGTTATTTTGTTTGGAATTCTTTATCTAATGTATTGCGTTTGAACTGTCGTTTTTTTATCAGCCAAACCTCAGTTATCTCTCGAGCAAATCAACTAGTTCTGTGCACAAACACCATTCTTGATGCTCTTCGTTGTGATAAATGACAGTGTGATGACCAACCCGGTTTCAGCCTAGTTGAACACTTCAGAAGTGTAAGGAATCTCAGACGGTTTTCAAAGCCATCTGAAGTTTTGCTTCAAATTTCAAAACAACGTAAAAGCGGGTTGGTCAAAAAACCAATATTTAAAATAACGCAAAATATATTCTCTGTATTTTTATCTCTTTCTAAACCGATTTTTCGATTTTTTATTATTGCTATCCCTCTATTATTTTTGTGGTTTGTAATTTTCCCGAATGGGATAATTTCGTTTTATGATTCTCACTTCTATTTGCACACGAGGAATGGAGGTAAAGTCTTTGGTCATGGTCAAGATAATTAAATATAATGCATTTTGTTTGAAAGGTAATAATACATTACTTAGTGGTTGTTGTGTCTCCATAGTTTTGATAAATGCTTCATGCGCTTTCAACCTGTTTATATTAGTAACCTGACTTAAAGCCCCTACTAATTTTTTGTGGTTTATGAAACTTCAAAGTCATTCATTGCATTCTATAACTTTCCACTTGTTCTTTTAAATTAAAATATCAACAATATTCGAAGGAGAGTTATTCATTTTTATTTTTAATAATAAGTGCAGAATTACTGACTGACTCAAGATGTTAATCATACACCATAAAATTCGACCGTATTTAACTATTTTAGTTATTGGGAATTTCAATATGATATTCGACCATATTCTGACCATTTCAATTATTGATTATTTCAATATAATATTTGGGTGTATTTTGACAATATCTGTTATGTATTCATTCAGTATGATATTCATGTAAGTACTAGTTCTCTTAATATAATGTCATTAATTCTTTGATAGTATCATTTCCTCTAAATGTACTAATGTCTTTGAATACCAATTGACAACTAAAGTGTTTGGCAATAGAAAATTTCTCCTCAAGATGTACCTTTAAGTAATTTTTGTGTTCCTTGGAAAGTTGTCCATGTTCATAGGTGACTTATTTAGTGGTGGTTGTTTTCAGTCATTAAAATAAAGTTCAAGGTTTAAGGTAATAGAACTTGTGAATAGCAAATGTTATTGATAATCATTTGATTTTCCAATGTTTATGATTTTAAAGATAGTCGTGAATTCTTAAAGGTCTTTCTCGTACCTAGATACTTTATTATGAAATCAAATTGTTCGAAATTTATAGTTCTTTTGGAT